AAGAGAAAATAATTTATGATCCTTTTTTTGACATTGGTTACTGCTTTTACTTTACATAGTACATGACTGGTCTTGCAGAAATATAACCGTGAAGAGGCCTGGTCTTCATATAGGATACCCGAGCTGTTCTGCATCAAATGTCCTCCAAGAAATTCTCTAATCATTATTCCCCTCCCTTTCAATATGTTGTCTATTATTATGTATTTATTCATCCCTTACTCTGGACTAGACACTGTATCAGAGGGTGTGGGTTTTATTCTGAGGGTGATGGATTAAAAGATTCCACTAATCCAGACCTTGGAAGCTTTCCATGTACAGACAGTTCTTGACCTGCAATGGTTCAACTTATGATTTTTTAACTTTACAGTGGTTTGACAGTGATATGCATTCAGTAGAAAAACTTTGAAGTTTGATCTTTTCCCAGCCTAACTATTTGTAATGATGCTGGGCAGCGGCAGCGAGCCACAGCTCCCAGTCAACCGTGCAGTCACAAGGCTGAACAACCAATACACTTACAGCCATTCTGCTCCCAGACAACCATTCTGCTCCCAGACAACCATTCTGCTTTTCACTTTCAGTGCAGTATTCAATAGATTACATGAGACATCCAACACGTTATTATAAAATAGGCTTGGTGTTAGATGATTTTGCCCAACTGTAAACTAACATAAGTGTTCTGAGCACGTTTAAGGTAGGCTACGCTTAGCTATGATATTCATTAGGTTAGGTGTTTCGACTTAATGATATTTTCAGCCATCGATGGGTTTATCCAGGTGTAACCGCATCATAAGTCCAAGGAAGCGCAGGGCTGTATTTTGATACATGCAGGTGATATACACATGTTGATTTTTATCTGCTCTTCAGGCCTTTGCACATGCTGTTCTCTCTTACTAAAATGCTCTTCTCCCACCCCTACCCCTATCATGTGATACTCTTCAGCCATTGGAAGTTCCCCTTTTCTCTATCCCCTCAATAGGGAGCCCTCTAAGCAGAAGTGCTTCATCCATTCTGGTTGGATGGAGGCCACCATCAGAGCTTGGCACAGAGGCAACCTGGGAAATGCTTGTTGACTGACTACTTGACGGATGGAACAGCTGAATGAGCTTTCAGGGACAGAGACCCTACCTCCAGCAGGCTCTCCAGTCAGGCTGCCCCCTGCTCCAAACTTTCCACTCACCTCCATCTCTTCCACCACTAAAATCTATCAGTCCTATGTCACATTCTCTTAGGGCCAGCACCTTGGCACTGAACCGAATCCAATCATAGTTTAGAGACTCCTGCGGTAAGTCATGTGGCAATTCCAGGGGTGGAGCCAAGCAGGGAAGAGGGAAAGCTGGGAAACGCCAAGTGTTCCCATTCACAGTGAGTGCACCAGCCACCCCAGAAAAGTTAGCTTCTCCATGGTGAGAGGAGAAATCATGAGCAGCTTCAACTAGACCCCTAGCCTTAAGGGGAAGAAACTAAGGGCACACAAAGCAACGCTGGACCCTGACATCTTGTTAGCTTCATTGGTATAGGTAGGAGGCAGCAAAGTGTGGTGGTTGTTATGGGATGAATTGTGCTCCCCACCATTCATATGTTGATATCTTAATCCCTACTACTCAGACTGTGTTTGGAGATAGGGCCTTTAAAGAGGTAATTAAGGTTAAGTGAGGGCACATAGGTGGGCCTTAATCCAATATGACAGGTGTTCTTAAAAGAAGAGGGGATTTGGATATACACAGAGACTGAGGGGTGACCATGTGAGGAAACAGTGAGAAGGCAGCCATCTGCAAACCAAGGAGAGACGCCTCAAAAGAAACCAAACCTACAGACACCTTGATCTTGGACTTCTAGCCTCCAGAATTGTGAGAAAATAAATGTCTGTCGTTTAAGCCACCCAGTTCATGGTATTTTGTTATGGAGGCCCTAGCAAATGAATACAGTGGATAAGATCAAAGATTCTGGAGCAAGGGGCTGAATTCCAATCCAGGATCCATCACTCATTAGCAAAATCATCTTAAGCAAGTTACTTTGTTTCTCTGCCTTGGTTCCCATCAGTTAAGTGGGCATAATTATAGTACCTACCGCATACGGTTGCTATGAGAATGAAATGGTTAATAAAGCACTCAGGAAACAACTCCTGACATACAATTAATAATCTGTAGGTGCTCATTAAATAAATAAATTCAATTTCACTGGGCAAAGGTGAAGAAATAGGCCAAACCCTGAGGAACTCAGAGTTATGTACCATTAAAAAGGGTCACCAGGGGACTTCCCTGGCGGTCCAGTGGTTAAGACTCCACGCTTCCAATGCCAGGGGTGCGGGTTCAATCCCTGGTCAGGGAACTAAGATCCCACATGCCGTGAGGTGCAGCCGAAAAAGTATTTTTAAAAAGTGGGGAGGGTGCACCAGGCAATGGTAAGTGTTCCTATATGGTGACTCTTTACCCCGGGCTCCCTGAGGGCAGAAATTTCTTAATATCTGTGAGAAAGGGCTTAGCAAAAGAGCGCACTCAGGAAGTACTTGCTGAACCAAATAGTTTCCAAACACCCTTTCCTAATGCTGGGCCATGTATCAGGGATTGGTAACTAATTCTTCATGGGAGTATCAGGTGATGTTCCTAAGAAGTTCTGTTTGGTTCCTTTTCAAATTTTCCATGTTTTAAAAAAAATAATTTTCTGTATTCTGTAGCTATTTTCTAACTTTAAATCTTTTTTTTTTTTTTTGGTACGCGGGCCTCTCACTGCTGTGGCCTCTCCCGTTGCGGAGCACAGGCTCCGGACGCGCAGGCTCAGCGGCCATGGCTCACGGGCCCAGCCGCTCCGCGGCATGTGGGATCTTCCCGGACCGGGACACGAACCCGTGTTCCCTGCATCGGCAGGCGGACTCTCAACCAATGCGCCACCAGGGAAGCCCTAACTTTAAATCTTGTATGCACAATTTTTTAAAACCTGTGGCTGTGAATTACAGTACCTGAAGTCTGTGTTTATCTGTTTCTTCCATCTGTTGTATCTATTTTTTCTTCATGAAGGAACCCTTCTTGGGTTCCTCATTATCTCTGACTGTGTGCTGGTTTCACCTTGAAAAATTATTTGTGGTGGTTCCCTGAAGGCAAAGATATTGATAAATGTGCCCTCTTCAGAGAGACTTTGCATTTCCTTTTGTCAAAGGTTTAGGGGCACTTCCAATGATAACTAGGGGCAATCCAGTTGTTACTTCAAACTAGGTTCCCAGTTTCTGGCTTGAGAATTCTTGGACTACTGGGCTCTACTCCCTAGAGCACAAAAGGACTCATCAGTGGTCACAACCCCCTAAGAAAGGGCTTTAAAATATTCCCCTTTCCTTTTCCTTCAACTGTTATGCTCAGTATCAAGGCAACCTTTTCTGAACTCCCCTGGGGCTCGTGGTGTGGAGTGTGCAGCTTCATATCACATTAAACTCAAGGGTGAGACCCTTGGGCTCTCAGCCTAATGTGAGGAGATTCTTCTATTAGACTCCCCACCTTGGACAGGCCCTGGACTTTCACTTCTCTCCCTCTTGCCCTATGTGGTTGATGAACTGAAACCCACAGGTTCAATATTAGCAAAAGCCCTCATGTCATAAGTAGCTTTGGTGCTCCAATCTTCTTGTTAAATATCTGGTTACCAGCTTTCACCTAATAATTGGCCTGAGCATTCCCCAGGCTTTTAAGCATTTCAGTGTTTTTCAGAGGATATTCTTATATTTTACCTAATGTTGCTATTTTCAAAGGGAAGATTAACTGAATAAATTAGTCCACCATTACCCCCCCCAAAAAGAAAATCCAGTTGTAATGATAAAATAGGCCCAGCATAATTCCTCCTCACTGACCTCTGACCACATCCTCTGACACTGACCCAGGCAATAATGTCACACATAAATACCAGATGGCCCGTGTACCAGGGGACACCCTCACAAATCACAGCCACCACTCAGTGTGTAACTGTTATCCAGTAACAACTCCACACAGTGACATCATACATAAATGTCACCCCTCAGTGTTCTGGGAGATAACCCAGAACTATATTGCTCAACAAGCCTATGTTGGGCACCTGCCATGTGCTAAGTACTGGAGTTACAGCAGAAAATAAGACAAGGTTTCTGCCCTCATGGAATTTACCATCTGGTAGGGGCAGTGGACAATGAACATGTAGCAAATAAATAATTTCAAAGAGTGTAAAGTTCTATGAAGAAAATAAAAGAGGGTAATGAGTCAGAGTGGACAGTACTACTTTAGATGGGGTATCTGGGAAGACCTCTCTGAGGAGCTGGCATTTCAGCTGAAACCTGAAGGTTGAGAAGGAGCCAGCTATCGGAAGAACTTGGGGTGACGCGTACTAGGCAGGGAACTAGAAGTGCAAAGGCGCTGAGGCAGGAGCGTCACGCTCGAGGAACAGCAAGGAGGCTAGTTTTGCTGGAGAGGAGTGACCTAGGAGGCAAGTGATGGGAGGAGGGGAGAGTGGGGGAGTGAGGTTAGAGAGGGAAGCAGGAGCCAGATCATACAGAGTCTTCTCTTGGCGGGCCGTGGGAAGGAGTTTGATTTTTAAGAATAAATGTAAACCCAAAGGGTGCCAAGTCATTTATGGTCTGAGAAGATCGCTATGATCACTGTTAACCAATCAGAACTGTCATGTGTAAAGATAAGGCCTGGCTCCCCGCAGTGCCACCATCCCAGCTCTAGGGAGGGCGGCTCCTCTTTCAGGAAACTTCCTTCCAAGCTCACAGGTGACACACCTCTCTCCAAGCCCGAAAGAAACATACTTTCTGATTGGACAAATCCAGGAGCATGTTTCTAACCTTCTTTAGGTCGAATCGGGCGGAGCCCGCTGATTACAAGCTCTCCCTCTCTTCCAATCAGACCGCTATTCGGGAGTGTGCTTGCGTCCCATTCCCCTGGTGAGATGAGTGAGTCCTGTGATTGGCTCTCCTTGTATGAGTGACAGCAGACGCATCTTATGGGCGCAAAGACTCGGCTGCGCTGCCCGGCACTGTCCGGCGCTTGAGGGTTGTGCAGGAGGAACCCGGAGCTGTCAGGGCGGGCGTCCTGCTCGGTGCCCGCCACCCCGCGCGCCGCCCGCGCTATGGCCGCCCCGCCGCAGCTGCGGGCTCTGCTCCTTGCTATCAACGCACTGTTGCGCAAGCGCCGCTACCACGCAGCGTTGTCTATGCTTAAGGGCTTCCGGAACGGGGCTGTGTAAGTCGGACGGTGGGGTGGGGCAGGGGCTGAGGGATCGATCTGATGGGGTCGGAGAAGCGGGTTCCAGGGCCGGCGCCGCCGCGCTGTGCGCCCCTGAGCAGTCTTAGTGTGTCCCTAGGTCTCTCGGTGTCCAGTATCGGCGCAGTGGGCGCTGGATTTTGGGTTCCGAGCGCCTTCTGAGCCGGGGCTCCCACTACGCTGTTTCTGGGTCTTCCGTGCTTTGCAACCTGGACCTCTTGCCTTGACTGCCTCCCATGCAGCCCGTCTCCCTTCATTTGGGCCCAGTTTCCCCTCTCCCGCCGCTGTTGTTCCCTTGGGTCTAATGGGAAGCTGGACTCTGGCCTCTAGCCAGCCGGCGGCCCTGCCTCTCTGTGCTCCCTCCATTAAGCTGCGCGTGGGCTTTCATCCCGCTTCTCAGTTCTCTTTTGTAAGTCCTTTCTGGCACAGGGGACTCCTGATGAGCCTCAGTCGTGATGTAAATGAAGCTGCAAATATTTGCTGAGCAAATTGAAGACCTGCAGAAGAGGTCTTGGGGTCATTTCCCCTGGCTGGTGCCAGGATGGGAGCTCAGCTAGCTTCCTTTAAACTTCATGCATAACAGCTTTCATTTATTGAGAGCCTACTGTGCCAGAACTGGGGACGCATCAGAGAACAAACGGAAGATCTGCGTGCTCTTGAAGCTGGCATTTTAGTGGCAGCATGGCATGGTTGTGTGGATGTGACCACCTTGGTTTGAATCCTGGTGCCCCTTACCTGCGTGATCTTGAGCAAGCCTTTTAGCCTCTCTAAGCCTCAAGTTCTATAAAATGGGGCTGATGATAGTACTTATACTGTCGGAGGCTTGAGTCAGTGTGTGTGAAATGCGTAGCGCAGTGCCTGGTATGTATATAACTGTTGGCTGCTGTAATTATTGTTCTATTCACATGGATGTCTGACTGGCTCACTCCTTCACCTTGTTCAGGCCTCTGATTGTCACCTCCTCAATGAAGCCATCCCTGAACTTCCCACCTCCTTCCCTACTGAATTTTTCTCCATAATACTTACCACCATCTGACACTAAGTAGTTCACTTATGTATCCTGTTTTTCTACTGTCTTTCTCACTGGAAAGTGAGCTTCATGGTGATGTCAAAAATCTTGGCTCTCTGTGCACCAATGCCAAACAGAAACAGAGACAGAGATTTGGAGGAAAAGAAGAAGCTTTATTGTTTGCCAGGCAAATGGGAAACACAGCCGGCTAGCACCTCAAGAACTGTGCTCCCCGTCTCTGGGGAATAGGGCAAGGTTATATAGCCGGGACTGGTGGTCTGGTAGGTGATAAGGCTCAAAGTAATTAAGGTCTTGCAGTTATCTTCTTCTTGCATTATTTCCAAACAGTCACAGCTGGCCTCAGGCAGCCTGGTAATTGGGTCTGTTTGGTAATTGGGTCTGTTGGCCTCTGGGTTGTTGGCCTGCAACCTTCTTTCTGAAATGCCCACATTACAAGGGTTGATTTGCTACAAGGGAGTGCAGGGAGTATAAATACCAGGTGGATAATGTAATTCACACGGGATCAGAGAGTGTTAGGGGCAGGGTGTAATTCACACAGAGTAAGGGAGTGATAGGTACAGGATGTGATTCACATAGTGTCAGAGAATGTTAGAGGTTAGCTTTGTGAAGGACAAATCTAGTTACAGACATTACAGATTAGTAGCAGTTAAAATAAAACTAGGATTGATTAACTCTTTCAGGCCTGTTTATGCTGTTTCCCCAGGCTGTTCATTGTTACTTTATTTTCCTTGTCTATCAGAAAAGAAAAGTCTAATTTCTATTTTTGCTGCAACAATGGGGACAGAAAGTTTAATCTATTTTGTTCCTTGCTATATTCCTAGTACCTGGTACATAGTAGGCTCTCAAATATTTACTGAATGAATGAATGTGCAAGGTGGGAATTGCCATTGTCCCCATTTTCTGGATGAGAAGACTGTGGCTCAGAGAGGAAGATTCATTGCTTACGGTCAAGTCACTTAGTCAGGGTCGGAGCCAGGATTCAGACCCAAGGATACCTGATCTCAGTGCCAGGCTCTTGGCTTCCATGGGCGCCCAGAGTCAGGAAGAAGGTGGTTCCCCCTGGGTCTGGCCAGGGGGTGCTTTGGTGAGACCAGGGTGGGGTGGGCCCTGAGATGACAGCAGTGGGCCCAGGCCCATCTGTAAGGACCTGGAGTCAAAGTGGGGAGACTGATGATCAAATTACCACGGCAATACCAGATGATCAGGAATGCTTTACAGAGGAGGTGATGGTGCCATTTTGAAGGCTGAGCTGGAATCTGCTGGGGGTGGTAAGGGCATCTCAGGCAGAGGGAATGGTTTGAACAAAGGCCTGGAGGTGGAAAAGAATGTGCTGTTTGTCTTGGATGACTGAGAACTGAGACGTATGAACTGTGTGAAATGTAACTCATTTTGATGCTCCACTCCTAAATATATCAATGTGCATCTCTGCAAATAAGAGCATTTTCCTCTACGGCTAGATTATCATGATTACATTTAATAAATTAATCATAATGCTATAACGTTGACTGCTGTCCAGTTGATAGACAAATTGTTCCAGTTGTCCCCCAGGTGTCCTCTATAGCAAGTTTGTCTAGACCAGGATCTTCCAGGATATTGCACTGTACCTGCATATCCTTTAAATCCTTTTTAATCTGGGGCATCCCATTTTTCAAGATGCAGAGTGATCCTGTGAGTGGTACTAAGTGGCTCCCACCTGAGTTTGAGGAGTTTGGGTAGGGGGCCAAGCAGATGTAGGGAGTTGGGGGCATTGTTCTGCTTGTGTCTGTGGTATAAGGAAGGACCCTTCTAGCCCTGGCCAGCTGGAGGAGGCCGAGGGTCTCTTTATTCAGGGGAAAGAGACATGACTTTGGAGGAGGTGGGGCAGAGAGCTTGCTGGGGCCAGGATGAGGGCCCTGCCCACAGCTAGGCATTGTGAAAATAAGCCATTCAGTGTGGCCACCACTACAGTAACACTGCTGTCACTTGATCACATTTTTTATTTGACTTATTTTTTGAAAATTAGGTAGCATATTCACAAAAGGCATAAAAAGTTAGAACTTCTTAGAAGTTTACACACCTTGCTCTAACCAAGCATAGAGCACATATAGCGCCACCTCGTTCTTGTACAGCTGTGTGGTATTCATTCCACTGACGGCTGGGTCCATTATTTGTTTACCCAGTAGCCCCCTGTGGATGGACACATGTTTGCTCCCAGTCTTCTGCTGTTTCAAGCAAGCCTCACAGATACTCATATGAAAACAATATGGGACTCATGACAGTTGTCTCAAGGAGGCTGCCAAAGATTTTTAGACCTTGTTAGCCTGGTAAGATTGGGGCCAGACAGCAGGAGAACTTGCTGGGGTGAGGGGAAGTCCAATAAAGAAGAAAAAGAAAGGCAGAGACACTAATATTGGTTGAATTAGGAACTTTTACATGTGCTATGTCCTTAACTGCCAGAAGCAACTCTGAAATGGAGAATACTTTTAACTGATGGGAGAAGGGAGGCTCAGAGATGTTAAATGATTTATCCAAGTGTATACAGCACAACAGGGCAGGGCTTTGGCACCAAATATTATTTCCTTTGCACTACCCACTTTGGTTTTTTTTTTTTTTTTTGGCCACACCGCATGGCATGCGGGATCTTAGTTCCCCCACCAGGGATCGAACCCGCACTGCCTGCATTGGAAGTGCGGAGTCTTAACCACTGGACTGCCAGGGAAGTCCCTGTACTATCCACTTTGAACCCAGATCTAACTTGAAAGCCAGCGTTATTTTTTCCCTCTTGAAATGATGTCAGGATTAGGGATGGGGAGGGGGCACAGGGAGTCAGAAAGAAACTGTGATTCAGTGGTGCTGTAGTAACTGTTTTCTTTTGTTTCTACAGCTATGGAGCCAAAGTCCGGGCCCCTCACGCACTGGTCATGACCTTTCTCTTCCGGAGTGGCAGGTACCCATCACTTCTGCACACCCTTCAAACTGGGAGAGAATGTGGTCACCCCTCAGTGCCAGGACTGTTGCAGTAGCTTCCTAGCTGGGTCTAACCTGTCTGCACCACCACCTCCTAAAGCACAAGTCTGATTCTATTATCCCATCTCGAAAATTCCCCTGGCTCCTCGCTGTCCTCCAGAGAAGCCCAGCTTCCAGGTGTGGGCTTCAAGGACCTCTGCAGCCTGACCTCAGGGACATCCCCCCTACTCCCCCACGTCCACCCTGGGGTGCCCTTGGCACCAAGACTCACTGCCATTCATTCATATGCCGCATGTGGTTCTACCTCCTTACGTTTCTCATGCAGTACCCCCCGCCAGGAATGCCCTTTCCTCTTCCACCCCACCTTTATTTCCTTCCTAGTAACCCATACCAGTTCTCTGAGGATGACTTTTTCAGGAAAACTGTTCATGACCTACTTCCTGCCCTTGTTCAGACTTCCTGGCCTTCCTCTGATCTCCTATAACTTCCCTCAAGAAACTTCCCAGAAATCACTTTGTGGTCTAGTTTTTAATGTATGTAGCCTCATCTGGAGCTTATAAGAATCACACATGGGGGACTTCCCTAGTGGCTCAGTGGTTAAGAATCCGCCTTCCAATGTAGAGGATGCAGGTTCAGTCTCTGGTCAGAGAACTAGATCCCACGTGCATGCCGCAACTAAGAGTTTGCATGCCACAACTAAGGAGGCTGCAGGCTGCAACTAAGGAGCACACTGCCGCAACTAAGGAGCCAGTGAGCCGCAACTAAGGAGCCTGTGGGCCACAACTAAGGAGCCCATGAACCACAACTGAGGAGCACACATGCTGCAACTAAGGAGCCCGCCTGCCACAGCTAAGACCTGGCACAACCAGAAAAAAAAAAAAAAAAAAAAAAAACACATGTGGACCCCCTCCTACTTAAATCCAGCTTGCAATTTTTTTTCTTCTTTTTTTTTTTTTTTTTTTTTGCCATGCTGCACAGCATGCAGGATTTTAGTTCCCCCACCAGGGATCAAACCTGCATCCCCTGCAGTGGAAGCATGGAGTCTTAACCACTGGACCACCAGGGAAGTCCCTGTAAGGGACTTTCTTTATGTATTTTTCCTATTTATTTATTTATTTATATTTATCTATAATTTTTGGCTGTGTTGGGTCTTCGTTGCTGCACACGGGCTTTCTCTAGTTGCGGCGAGTGGGAGCTACTCTTCGTTGCAACGTGCGCGCTTCTCATCCAGTGGCTTTTCTTGTTGCAGGGTACAGGCTCTAGAGCGGGCAGGCTTCAGTAGATGCAGCACGTGGGCTCAGTAGCTGTGGCTCGTGGGCTCTAGAGCACAGGCTTAGTAGTTGTGGCGCACAGGCTTAGTTGCTCCACGGCATGTGGGATCTTCCCCGACCAGGGCTCGAACCTGTGTCCCCTGCATTGACAGGCTGATTCTTAACCACTGCGTCACCAGGGAAGCCCTGTATTTTTCCTTTTTTTTTTTTTTTTTTTTTTTTGCGGTACACGGTCCTCTCACCGTTGTGGCCTCTCCCACCACAGAGCACAGGCTCCGGACGCACAGGCTCAGCGGCCATGGCTCACGGGCCCAGCCGCTCTGCAGCATGTGGGATCTTCCCGGACTTGGGCACGAACCCGTGTCCTCTGCATTGGCAGGCGGACTCTCAACCACTGCACCACCAGGGAAGCCCTGTATTTTTCCTTTTTTAAATTTATTTTTGTTTTAGTTTTTGCCCTCTGAATCATTTTTTTGAATCATTTTTTTAATTGAACTCATTCATTCAGTAAATATTTATTGACCATGTGCCAGACACTCAAAGATTATTATTATTCTTTTAATAAATGTATTTATTTTTATTTATTTATTTTTGGCCCCACTGCGTGTGGGCTTTCTCTAGCTACGGCAAGCAGGGGCTACTCTTCGTTGCGGTGCACAGACTTCTCATTGCGGTGGCTTCTCTTGTGGTGGAGCGCGGGCTCTAGGGCGCCCAGGCTTCAGTAGTTTTGGCATGCTGGCTCAGTAGTTGTGGCTCGCGGTCTCTAGAGCGCAGATTTGGTAGTTGTGGCATATGGGCTTAGTTGCTCCGCAGCATGTGGGATCTTCCTGGACCAGGGCTGGAACCCATGTCCCCTGCATTGGCAGGCAGATTCTCAACCACTGTGCCACCAGAGAAGCCCCCAGACACTGTTTTTAGGTGCTGGGGATACAGCAGTGAAAAAAAAACAGAGAATGATCACTTCCCTTGTAAAGCTTGCATTCTAGCAAGGAGTAGCAGAAAATAAACATAATAAGGAAAGTATATGGTATGTTAGAAGATTGTATGGGCTGTGGGAAAGAAATATTAGAGCAGGGAAAGAGGGAAAGGGGATCCAGAGAGCTGGAGGAGGGGCAGGCTGCAGAACTAAATAGGGAAGGCCTCAGTGAGTAAATGACATTCGAGTAAAGACTTGAAGGAGATGGAAGAGTTGGCCAAGTAGGTATCAAGGGAAAGAGTGTTTCAGGCCAAGGGAACAGCCAGTGCAAGGGTCCTGATGTGGGATCATGCCTGGTGAGTTTGAGGAGGCTGCAGCAGAGGGATTGCAGGGGAGAAAACAAAGAAAGGAAGGTCACAGGGGTAACTTAGGCCCATCCTGTCCAGCTTTAGGTCATAGAGAGGAGTTTGGCTTTTCCTTTAAGTGAGACAGGAAATTGTTGCAAGAATTTGTATAGGGAAATGCCACTCTTTGACTTATCTTTTAATAGTGAGAGAGTGAAGAGTTTGCTGCTAGGGGTCAAGGGCAGAAGTAGGTGTAAAGTAGGAGGCTGTGGCAATAATCCAGTTGAGTAACTGTGGTGGCCCAGACCTTGATGGTGGCAGTGGAGGTGAGGGGTGTTCAGATTCTAGAAACATTTTGAAGGGAGGATTAGTGCCAACACTTGACAAGTGGGAAATCCAGCTTGCCTTAGGACTGTCAGTGCTGGGCCCATGTTCCTATGGGGTGAGAACCACCTGACTCCTGGCTCTCCCCACTCACCTGGCAGACTTCCACAGGTCCCAGAAGACACACTTCAAGGTCCTTCTCCAGCCTTGAGGGTCCTTGCGTTTGCCGGCCCTGAACTGATCTCCCAGAATACACTCTGCTCCTCTCCCTGGTTCTCCTCACTGCCCCCTAGTGATTTTTTAAAGATAAATCAAATCATCTGTCCTACTTAAATGTTGGCTTCTCTCAGGATAAAGACAAAACTTAGCATGGCCCCGCCCCTCCCCCCACAGCCTTTGCACCACACATTTTCTGCTCAGGCCTTAATGGTTTCTCTCTGTTCCTTTACTCCCCATTCTCTGTCCCTCCTCAGGACCTTTGCATGTGCTGATCCACTGCCTGGGATGCAACTCCTCTCCCTTCCTGACCTCACTGACTCCTCATTCTTCACACCCCAGGATCATGTCTTGTCAAGGTCAAAGTTTGACCTTTGTGTTGTAATTATTCATTTCATAATTCCCTCTCCCATTAGATCATAAACCTCATGAGGGCAGCAAGCAGATCTCTTTTTTCTCAGACTTGTATCCCCAGATCCAGCACATGGTACATACTCACTCGCTCATTCATTTCTTCACATCTTCACTCCAAAAAAAATATATTTACTGAGCACCTACTATGTGCCAGGCCTTGTACTGGGGGCTGAGGATGAACAAGCCAGATGTAGACACCACTCTCTGGTAGCTTCCACTGGGATGGGGTGGGAGTGGGGGGAGATAATAAGCAAGTATATAAATGTCAGGTGGTGATAAGAGCTATGAAAGAAAAGAAAAGTTGGGTAAGGGAACAAAATACGATGGGCATTCTTTTATGTAGAGTGGTCAGGGAAGACCTTTCAGAGGAGGTGGCGTGGAGTCAAGGCTGGAATCCAGTGAGGGAGCAGCCCCAAGGACATGGAGCGTAGAGGCCCGGGGTTGAATGAGCATCGGCCCGTGAGCTCCTTGCCTGGGTCAGTTTTGCATGCCAGGTGGGTGAATACCCTGGGGGCGGCTGGGCTTGCACTCACGGTGGCTCCCTGTGTTTGTGCAGCCTCCGGGAGAAGCTGTGGGCTGTCCTGCAGGCCACGTACACTCACTCCTGGAACCTGGCCAGCTTTGTGTTCACTTACAAGGGACTCTGCGCCCTGCAGTCCCACCTCCAGGGCGAGACCTACCAGGTGCACTCATTCGTGGCTGCCTTTCTTGGGGGCATCCTGGTGTTTGGAAACAACAATAACATCAACAGCCAGGTAAAAGCCCTCTCCTGGATGTGGGTTGGGGAGAGGGGTGGAGGTGAAGCGTGGGACAGGATTCAGGTATAGAGTTGGGGATGGGAGTCAAAGAAGACAAGCTCTTGGTTCCCTTCCATGTACGAGGGTCTGTGGTTCACCAGTCCCTGTGTGACCTTGGGAAGGTCACTTCCCCCTCAGTTTCCCACTCTGTTAACCAGGTGCCTTGTTGGAATTCCATGATTCCCAAAATCAGTGTGTGTGCAGCTCTCTGGGGCAAAGATTTAAAAAAACAAAACAAAACAAAAACACAAAACACCACTCTGCAGTGACATGAGAAAAAAACATGACCCTGGAGTAAGATTTTCATAAAACAAAACTTACTACATTCAAAGAATTGCTTCTTATTCTGTAACTTGACCTTTTTTCTGGGTTAAAGTTCTGTTTTTTAATGAGGTGATGAAACTAAATGCTAATCGTTGCTGCTGCTCCTGTTTTAGCATCCTTCTTGGGCAATATGAAAGTTGGCAGTCTTTCCAATTTGCCTTCCTCAAATTTCTTAAATATTCCTTTTTTTTTTTTTTTTTTTTTTTTTTTGCGGTACGCGGACCTCTCACTGTTGGGGCCTCTCCCGTTGTGGAGCACAGGCTCCGGACGCGCAGGCTCAGCGGCCGTGGCTCACAGGCCCAGCCACTCCGCGGCATGTGGGATCTTCCCAGACTGGGTCATGAACCCGTGTCCCCTGCATCGGCAGGCGGACTCTCAACTACTGCGCCACCAGGGAAGCCCTTAAATATTCTTAAATTATAAAAATAATATTTTATTTTCACATTTTAAATAATGCAAACTAAGCACCCCCTATGTGCCTGGCACACTTCTGGGTGCTTAGGACACATCATGATAAAATTAGAAAATAAACTGGAAAGAAAGTTCCTGTCCCCCACCAACTGTCCAGCCACTGTCCAGAGGTAGTCACTTTTTTAAAATTAATTTTTATTGGAGTATAGTTGATTTACAATGTTGTGTTAGTTTCTGCTGCACAGCAAAGTGAGTCAGTTATAGATATACATATAGACAGTCACTTTAACTGTGTATTGTATAGCCTTTCAGAACTTGTCTGTGCTTGTGTCAGTGTACATAGTAGGAGTTCTTCACCAATGAGATCATACTATGTTTTTTTTCATGTAACAGTGTACCTTGGAGGCCTCTCTTGTCAGTCCCTTATCCTTTATAACATCAGTAGAGCCCTCTGCTGATGGGATGGACCAGCCTTGATTTCACAGTCTCCTCTGGATGGACATTTAGGGGCTCTTTAGCCTTTGGCCATCACACACACACACTGCAGTCTACATCTTTGTTCAGACATCTTCCTGTACTTATGTTAGTCTGTCCATAAGTTCCTAGACATGGAATTGTGGAATCTAAAGATATGAGCATTTTGTATTTTGGGAAAGTTTCCCCAATTTTGTTTCTTTGATAGAAATTTCACTTGTCTGTGAACTTCCAAAATCTAGGAATCCTGGACACACCCATCTCCTTCCCTCTCCCCTCCTTTCCCTGACCCCTGGCAACAGCTTCTCTGACCTCCATTTCAAAAATGTTGTCATTTCAAAACTGTTATATGATAGACATTTCTCCAAAGAAGACATACAGATGGTCAACAGGCACATGAAAAGCTGCTCAAGCTCACTAATTATTAGAGAAATGCAAATCAAAACTATAGTGAGGTATCACTTCACACCAGTCAGAATGGCCATCATCAAAAAGGCTACAAATAACAGATGCTGGAGAGGGTGTGGAGAAAAGGGAACCTTCCTACACTGTTGGTGGGAAAGTAAATTGGTGCAGCCACTATGGAGGTCAGTATGGAGTTTCCTTAAAAAACTAAAAATAGAGTTACCATATGATCCAGCAATCCCACTCCCGGGTATATATCTGGAAAAGACGAAAACTCTAATTAGAAAAGATACATTCACCCCAGTGTTCATAGCAGCACTATTTGTAAGACATGGAAGCAACCTAAATGTCTGTCAACAGATGAATGGATAAAGAAGATGTGGTGTATATATATACAATGGAATATTACTCAGCTATAAAAAAGAATGAAATAATGCCATTTGCAGCAAAATGGATGGACCCAGAGGGTATCATACTAAGTGAAATAAGTCAGACAGAGAAAGGCAAATACCATATGATGTCGCTTATATGTGGAATCTAAAAAAATGATACAAATGAACTTATTTACAAAAGAGAAACAGACTCAGAGACATAGAAAACAAACTTATGGTTGCCAAAGGGGAAGGGGTGGGGGAGGCATAAATTAGGAGTTTGGGATTAACAGATACACATTACTGTGTATAAAATAGATAAACAACAAGGACCTACTGTATAGCACAGGGAACTATATTCAATATCTTGTAATGACCTTTAATGGAAAAGAATCTGAAAAAGAATATATATACATATATATGTATATGTGTGTGTATAGCCGAATCACTTTGCTGTACACCTGAAACAAACACAACATTGTAAATCAACCATACTTCAATTTACAAAGATGTTATATAAATGGAGTCATTGTAGTATGTAACCTTTGAGGATTGGCTTTTTTCACTCAGCATCATTTCCTGGCAATTCATCCAAGTTATTGTACGTATTAGCTGTTCATTCCTTTTCATTGCTGAGTGGTTATGTTATCCATGTTATGGGTATACCTGTTGAAGGACATCTGGGTTGTTTCCAGTCTTTGGCTATTAAGCATGCAGCTACTCAGAACATTCTTGTACGTGTTTTTGGTGAACGTAAGTTTTCACTTCTGGGGTAAATACCCAGGAGTGCAATTGCTGGGTCATATGGTCCATAAATACTTAGTTTCATAAGAAACTGCTGAAGCATTTCCAGAGTGATTGTACTGTTTTACATTCCTATCAGGAATATATGCGTGATCCAGTTTCTTCACATCCTAGCTGGCATGTGGTTTATTACATTTTAAATTTTAGACATTTTAATAGGTGTATAGTGCTATCTCACTGTGGTTTTAATTTGCATGTCCCTGATGCCTAGTGAAATTGAATCTTTTTACATGTGCCTGTTTTCCTTCTGTGTAACCTCTTCAGTGAAATAACTGTGTCTTTTGCCCATTTTCTAACTGGATTGTTTCTTTTTTCACTGTTGAGTTTTGAGAGTTTCTAAAAATATATTCCAGGTGCTAGTTTTTGTCAGATATGTGTTTGTAAATATTTTCTCCCAGTCTAGCTTTTCTTTTCTACCTCTTCACATGGGCTTTCACAGTGGAAAAATTCTGAGTTTTGATGAAATCCAGTTTATTAATTTTTTTCTTTTATGGATTGCTTTTGTTGTTGTTGAGCTACCTTTTAGTTTCAAGCCATGTAAATATATTCATTTTTCAGATTTTTTAATGAAAAAGAGTAATAAAGCCATAAACAGTCACATTTAAATGCCCGCTACGTAACCGTTTCAAGTCACCCCGGCGCGCAGGCGGCGCCCCAGGGTGGCAGAAGGTTCCCGGTGGCTGGGCCCACCTGTAACCCCCACCTCCCTGTCATTCGCTCCCTCAGATCAACATGTACCTGATGTCACGCCTCCTGTTTGCCCTGTGCCGCCTGGGCGTGGGGAAGGGCTACATCCCTGAGCCCAGGTGGGACCCGTTCCCGTTGTTCACCGGGCTACTGTGGGGGCTGGTGCTGTGGCTCTTCGAGTACCACCGGCCCACGCTGCAGCCCTCTCTGCAGTCCTCCATGACCTACCTGTACGAGGACAGCAACGTGTGGCACGACCTCTCGGACTTCCTCATCTACAGCAAGAGGCGCCCCTCCGAGTAACTTGGCCCCAAGGTGCTCATGGAGGCTCCCGCACCCAAGTCACCATCAGCGGGCTCAGCTCGAGGTTGGCTCCATCAGCGAATCATCCCAGGGGATCTGGCCTTTTCAAGACCCGGGGTCTCAGACTCTAACTTTTATTAGCCCGGGGTTCCGTTTGCCTAAGCGAAAGCACTGATTTTCAGACCCCATTAGGTACTCTTGAATGGTGGAACGAGCCGCCAGAGCAGGCTGAGGAGCCTTGGGCGCGGTGACAGCTGTGCTGCTGACTCTGTGAGACCAGGGAAGGTCACACCCCACCCTGGGCCTCAGGGGTCATCGCACTCAGAGGAGGGCACTGAAGTCTCTTTCTGGTGGGTATGTTTTCCGACCGTTCTTCTGGAACAGAGGGCTCCTGGCTGGTGGGCAGTGGGTTGCCAATGCGTTTTTAGAAAATATGCAGTTCCTCATCTTAGGTGTTCTACTGGAGAAGCTCTAGCGTTTCCACTGTCCAATAGAAACACGATGTGAGTCATATACGTGATTGAAATTTTTTTAGTAGCCACATTCCAGTGGTTAGGACTCCGAGCTTTCACTGCCGAGGGCACGGGTTCAATCCCTGGTTGGGGAACTAAGATCCCACAAGTCGTGGGGTGTGGCCAAAAAAAAAGTGGGGAGGCAAGAAGCAGGTGAGATTAACCTTAATCATATCTTTTAACCCAGTATTTCTAAAATATTATCATTTTAACATGTAATAAATGTAAAAGTTATGAGATATTTTACATTCTTTTTTCTTGTAGTAAGTCATCAAAATCAGGTGTGTGTTTTACACTTACAGCATTTCTCAATTTCAACCAGCCGCATTTCAGGTGCTTATTAGTAGCCACATGTGGCTAGTGGCTCCTGTTTTGGATAGCACAGATGTAGTATGCTCTACCCTCGCAGAAAATTCTAGTGGACAGTGCAGATATAGAGCCAGAAGACATGGGTTTGAGTCCCCACTCCACCACTGTGTAACCTTGGGGAAGGTTCTTAACTTCTCAGAGGCTCAGTTTCTAGTAAAGTGAGGATAATCGTAGTAATACCTGGTGTCCACATTGGACTTGTGTGGCTACAGCGGCTGCTTCTACTAATTACACCCATGTAGTGAGCTCCTACTTCCTCTTGGGTGCTTTGCACTAATTATTTTTAACCCATTCAAAGACCTTGCAGGTATGTATTTGGATCTCCATTTCACAGATGTGGAAACTGAGGATCAGAGAAGAGAAGTAACTTGCCCAAGGTAATACAACTAATAGTATGACAGCCAAACCAGGGTTTGAACCCAGATCTATGCGATTTCAAAGCTCATGTTTTTTTCAGTGCCTTACTTTAAATTTAGAAACCTAAACTATGCTATGCAAATGTTAGCTAGTTATAGGGGTGCAAACTCACATGCCTATAGGGGCCTGGCAAGTGGTATAAATGATAATGTTCTGGATGCTATGCAGTTGGGAATGACAGGGATGTGGGGAACTGGAGACTCGTGTGCCAGACTGAGTTTTGAAAACCACCAAGCTGGACAGATCAAACAGGTCCCCAGGGGACTTGGTCCATGGACCACCAATTTGAATAGGCATACTTCAATCTCTTTTTATATTTTGAAAATTACGGACTTCCCTGGTGGCACAGTGGTTAAGAATCCGCCTGCCAATGCAGGGGACACGGGTTCGAGCCCTGGTCCAGGAAGATCCCACATGCAGCAGAGCAGCTAAGCCCGTGTGCCACAACTACTGAGCCTGTGCTCTAGAGCCCGTGAGCCACAGCTACCGAGACCGGGCGCCACAACTACTGAAACCCGCATGCCTAGAGCTCGTGCTCCACAAGAGAAACCACCGCCATGAGAAGCCCGCTCACCGCAACTAGAGAAAGCCCTCGTGCAGCAATGAAGACCCAACGCAGCCAAAAATTAATTAGTTAATTAATTTAAAAAAAAGGAAATTACTAGTAGAAATATCCACATGAGTCACTGACCTTATTAAAATGCAGATTCTGATTCAGTGGGGTCGGGGTGGGGCCTGAGATTTCTGTATTTCTCACAGGCTCCTGGATGATTGCTGCTGCTGCTGTTCTGAGCTACGCCTTGAGTAACAAGGTGGTAGGGAATGATGTGGGGCCAACAAGTAGCCCATGTGACAAAGGAAGAAACTAAGTCACAGAGCTGTTAGGTCATCGAGGTGGGATTTGGTCTGATTCTAACTGCGTGCTCTCAAGCACAGTGTTGTACTGCAGGCCCGGAGGAGGGGATCTTGAAGTTTCCCTAGTTCACTCCGTGGAGGCCGAATGAGATCCCAGGGTTATGGGGAGGGGAGGGTGACTGTCAGCAAGTGGGCTTTGTTGCAGATGCTGCGGTGCCCACCCATATCCCGTCTAACTTACCACTTCAGTGCACACCAGCCACCCAACTGCCACCCTGAGTCTTTCTGCCCGAGGGCCCCTCACTTGCTCTTGGCACCAGCTTTGCCAGCCTGCAGCAGACCTGCAGTGCTAGAGGATTAACACATCCTGGGAGCAGCCCTCAACAAGTAACTGATGACTACCCCCACTCCTGCACCCCTCACCCAGTTGTCACTGGGTGGGATAACTCTGAGGTGCCTGCTCCACACTGGCTCCCAGAATACCCCAGCAAGACTGAGCTCTGGCTGCCCACAGTGGTCACTTGTGTGATGACACCTCCTCCTTGTCTCCCTCCCTCATGCCCCTACCAGCGCTTGGAACCACTTCCCACAGAAACCACTTGCACTCAAATCCTTGTCTTGGGGTCTGCGATTAGGGGAACCCAAACTAAAACTGGCCTCTGGTGCAACGAGTTGAGAGGCAGCACAAGTGGTGGTTAAGGACATAAGCTTTGGAGCCAGAGTGTCTGGGCTCAGTTCCAGCCTCGCTGGTCCCTTGCAAGTGTCTTAACCATTCTGGGCCTCCGTTTTGTCATCTGTAAAATAGGCATTCTAATAGCGCACACCTCATAGGGTGGTCTGGAGGATTAAATGATGTGATAGCGTATGAAGTAAGCACTCGATAAAGGTTTGCTTTTATTTCCGACATATCAACCAAATGTAAAAGAAAGCATGGCCCTGAGGACTGCAGACACCCTGCTTTTTTAGCCTGTCCTACCCCACCCTCAGCTGAAGGTAAAAGCCTTGGCTGCCTGCCCTCCTGACGTCCCCCCACTGCCGCTGGGGGTTGGCCAGCTCCACTACCCACTGTCTCTGCTCTGTAAGAATAGGTTCCCCTCACAGATGGCATCTCTCTGGATCCTGCCAAAGCATCTGGTGCCTCCAACTGCTCACTCCAGGGGGAAGGCGGTGTGGTCCTTGTGCAGGCGCAGAGCCCTGGCTCCTAGGAGGAGTCCCCACTCAGCTCCCTCCAAGCCAAGCCTCCATTTCTGCAAGACCTGGAAAATGGGGATTGCTGGAGAGCTTCTGGCACACAGTAGGTGCTCCATAAATGCTAGCTCCTGAAACAGCACAGTGTTTTAACGTGTATTTATTAAGCACCTGCTACATTCCTATGAGGTCTCTTGACAATGCAAAGCTATAAACAAAATTTTTTATTCAATAATGCATACACAATAGTGCAAAACTTAAGTGGTACAAAAAGTGTGTAACAGGGAAGAATCAAGTTCCCCCTGCACCCCAGCTCCACCTACCTGCCTCTACCCCAGCCAGGGGTGCCACCTATCAGCACTTTCTAGTACAGCCTTCCTGAGACATTCTCTGCATGACCACCCATCTCTGTCTTCTAAGAAACTTGTATATTGCACTGTCATCTCAAGAACTCTGACATTTCCTCCTTGTCCTCTGCATGTTTGGTTTCTTTTTGATCAATAATCTGACATGAAAGTGAGTCCTGGACTTCCCTGGTGGTCCAGTGGTTAGGACTCTGTGCTTTCACTGCCAAGGGCATGGGTTCAATCCCTGGTCAGGGAACTAAGATCCTGCAAGCCGTGCGGCCAAAAAAAACACAAGTCAATGTTAGTATCATTAAAAAAAAAAAAAGTGAGCCCTTTCTTTGAGCCAATTCCCACCCCCCCACAGCTCCACCCTCCAGTCCCCCAATATCTTGGGCAGATCATCATGAACCACCCTAGGTGTCCCGAGCCTTGTCGTAGATGACGCCCAACACTCAGGTCCACAGAGCTCCAAGTGAAAGGGGAAGCACAAAATCGAAGTGAATTTGGGGCCCTTCTGCTGCTCCACTCCCAAATCAGAGGTCATTCAGGGAACCCATGTGAGAGTGATGATTCACAGGCCGAGGCGCCAAGAAGCCGCCTCCTGTGATGCTCGCGGCTCCTGCCTTCCACTTCGCAGGCTCCAGAAAGGATCCTGGAGATGGCGTTTCTGTCCACGTTGTTCGCTTCTCCCACTCCCGTGAGTGTGTTTTGTGTTTATGAGAATCAGGCTTTAAACCTGACACCCTCCTAAACCAGTGCCCCACCTCCTGGAGCCAACAGTCTGTGACTGCAGATGGGTTGCTTTCTGTGACAAGTTAGAGGGCATTTATAAAAAGAAATGTTACGTTTTTTCCTCCCCTTGTTCCAGATTCATAGGGATGGGGGGGGTGTCTCTAACTGAAATGAAAAGCATTTTGGGTGAGAGGGTGTTAATTTTAACCAGAGGCCTCCTACAGGACTCACTCTTGGGAGCTGGAGGCCGCAGGGGTCCAGCTAGAGGACAGAGGGAAAGCTGGGCTGTCTTCTTGCTGCTTTTAGAGGGCTCCCTGCTTTCTGTTACAGGCCTGTGTGCTCATGATTTCATAAATAAGACGGGACCAGGCAGCACTGAAATGCAGGTCGTGGGGTCTCTGTCAGAAACCTTGCTCCCCCTGCTTTTCTGGGCTCCCCTTTCAGCCTCTCCTCGTGGGCTGGACATCAGCTAAGAGAGGGATCAAGGTCAGACCACGTCAGCTCTTTTTTTTGGCCACGCTGCGCGGCTTGCAGGATCTTAGTTCCCTGACCAGGGATTGAACCTGGGCCCCTGGCAGTGGAAGCGAGGAGTCCTAACCACTGGACCACCAGGAAATTCCCCACATCAGCTCTTTTAAGACACTCCTTTTTAGGGTGTCTTTTTTATGTGGGTCATGAACCCTTTTGGCATCTGGTGAAGCCTATGGACCCTTCTCAAGAATGGGGTTTTTTAAACCCATAAAATAAAATAGGATTACAAAAGACAACAATTATATTGAATATTGAAATAATTATCAAAATATTTTAAAATTTGTGATTTAATAATGTATGTTCTTTTTCTAAAAATTTTTAAATATGTATTTATTACTTATTTTGGCTGCACCAGGTCTTAGTTGCAGCATGCAGGGTCTTTAGTTGCACCATGTGGACTCTTAGTTGTGGCATGCGGGATCTAGTTCCCAGACCAGGGATCGAACCTGGGCCCCCGGAACTGGGAGCACGGAGTCTTACCTACTGGACCACCAGGGAAGTCCCTTGTAATGTGTGTTCTTTTTTAACACGTTAGATAACAAGATCTAGTGGCAGGTCCAAAACTACCATGATTTCACAGGTGCAATAAGCATAAATAGTATCTCAAGATCCCTGCGGCAGCTGTGATATGGAAATAGCTGTGATTTCTCTTGGAGATAAAGTCCCAGGTTGCTGCTAATTGGCCTCTGGTTTGTTGCCTACATTTAAAATTGAAGGAAATGTTACACTTCAGTTAGAGACTAGTGAAAATATAGGTGTAATTTCTTTTCCTGTCCAAGTTCATGGAACTTGGGTTCATGGA